AGTAGCATAGCAACTAGAAATATAAGTAGATGGTGGTGTCGCCATCGATGCTGGCCGACGGTGACGACCAAAACGACACTACAAGGACGCATAGACGAACTCTCTTAGGGGATTGCATATCATCCAGAGACCTGGGGGGACCTCGTTCAGAACAGACCGGCCTGAATAAGAGAGGTGAAGACTGGCCCTGCCATATACGATGCAAATCGGATCGTCGTCGTCAAAGCCAAACGGAAGGCTCGCAAATCACAAATGCCCCGCCTCCTAAATGCCAACCATCCGTCGCTTTTAACATGTCCGCGCTGTCAACGCGCATTCCGAGCGGGAATCGGTTTGTGAGCGTCTGCTATGTGAGAATCAGCAAACCATAGATCTTGCAGCCTGGTATGCGCTGGCATTTCTCTAGTACCTGGTTCTTTGACGGTAAATGCCCTAGAGCTCCCTCTGGGTATATAGGTCGTGTGCATGGCTGCCCAGTTATTCACGTATCTTCTGTTGTTGTCAGTCAAAATTCGGGTCAATTTTTGTGGGGGCCAAGGAGTGTGGAGTGAAACGCCAAGGTGCGGGTTCGGCCGAGCCATCCACCTGCGCCCTCCCCGCTTCCGGCCGACTTGATTCTGTCTTGACACCGGGTCCAGGTGGAGAGGTGGGGTGCAGTAGACGCTGCGCAAGTTCACCCTGGCTATAAATTAATTCACGCACAAGTCACCCTGGCTGCTCTACCTTGCTGTGGAGCACGTGGTGGACATCGTCGGATGCAACAGTCGAACTATCAGGTAAACAGAGTGGTACCGAAAGAGGCAGGGAAGATTGGAATGGCCATTTCTGGCTTATTCGGCGTTGTCAGACAGTTATACTGAAACCCAGGCGTGGATCATTTGACATTTGAACCCAGGATCTTTGGTCAGTGAGTGTGACAATCTACCACTGAGCTACGGGCCCGCTGTCCTGCCGGTTGTGATTGCGAATATTAATCATGATGGAGGGGTTGATTACGGCTAATAAGTTAAAATGCCCATTTCTGTCTCCCTTGTCTTTGTCGGTACCATGTGGCCATATAAGGCTCATAAAAGTTCGCAATGTATGCAATGCTGTATACTTCATAAGGGGCATTAATAAAAGAACAAGAACGACGTTGTTTGAGTGGATATTTTACGGCTTTAAAAGATCTTATAGTGACGAACTTTCTAATGCCGAATTATGCCCTTTCTTCAAGCACAAAATGTGAAAATGATGTGATTTGCTACGAAATGAGTACAAAAAGAGACATTCTCGATTATGGTTTCTATGAGATATACTTTACTTAATGGGGGTATTGAATATAGACGGGAAGGTTTCACACTACCTGAGTAGTCGTTTTTTTTACCGGAGTCGGTTTTATAGGCGACCACAAATAAATGAAATCAAACGCTGACTTCCTATCGTGACTGAAATATCTTCGAATTATGCCGCACTATAATCAAAATTACAACCCTATTCAAGTAATCCTTCCCAATCGCAAACTCGTATCTCAGAGTTCCGGTTAGTATTTCATGAGATTGACAACCGACTGTACGCACCCTCAAGGCGCCCTGGAGCAGCGACCGCACTGAGAAACTTCTTAATCTCATCTTAGCCGCGACAGCTACATATCACTCCACACAGTCGGCGCGCGCCATTCCTTTTAGGGTGTGTGTATTAATCATTCGTCGGCACACGTGCATGCCACTTGGCGGCGTGCGCACAATGGGCCAGCGTGTGTCTCAAGGTCATTCGGCCACGTCCGTGGCGAGAGAGCGAGAGCATGAGTCATTGCGTTAAGCAGGCATATTGAGGCTAGCAGACCACGACAGCCTGTCTGGCTTTCACTCGTGTCTTTTGAAATGACGAAGCAGTGCGAAACCAAGGCCCTGATAGTTGCAGTGAGCAATCGGCTCCGGTGCGCGATAACAGGCCCGCCAGTAGGGAGAATTCCCCGGTCGGAGAGCTCGTAGGCAGTCGGCGGCCAGGGGCAGAACTGGCAGGTTCGTGCAAAGCCCCTGGGCGAATGACCAACATCAGCCACTACTTCGGCAAGCTTGAAGTGAAGAAAGGGGGAAAACGGGACGGTATTCGCAAATAAAAGGCTCGTGAAAGTGTTATAAAGGCCTGCTTGGGTGCATAAGGCCTTCTGAGTAACTCAAGACAGATGGCAAAGCATTTCAATGTAGCCCCAGAAGGGAGTGGTCCTTATTCAAAGGCTAAATACCTCGTTAATTACCCGTGGATGCAGATGACCATATAAATCGATAGGTCTACCGTCGCAAGCGAAAAGCCCACCACTACCTGGATAACGCAGCGGTGACTTGGGAACGAAGTTTCTAACTGTGAAGCGGACTAGCACAGCATACACTTCTCCCGCATCCACATGGGCACACTGGTAGACTAAGATAAACGGCCCACTAGGGATTGGAGACTACGCGGAAGAGACCCAAGAATGAGCTTATAATTGACAGCAAAGCTATGCCAGTACTTTTACTTGGCACGGCCTAGTTGACTTCGATGAAATCGCGAACTTCACATGTCGATTAGAGCTTTCTGGGCAAATGACTTTTGACAATTGTCTATACTCGGAGAATACTTCACAGTAAGCGGACTAAAGGCACGCTCCCCAGAAATATGACAAAATCTTTATAAGTGGCCTTACACAGACGACTGCAAACAGTACAGGGATGTGGACCCAAGTACCCACGTCAAGCAGACGCAGGGACAGGAGGCGCAGCCCGTGTACGATTAATCAGTTAAAATTTCAGATTTTTGTCAGTTTGAGCAAAGCCACTCAGTGAACTAGCGGAAAACTTGTCACGTACGCTACACCGGAAAGTCAGGTACACGCTTAGTCTGTGCAGGCTGCTAGACCACACAATAGGTTTTCCCGACGGAGACAGGAGGCACGATCCACCGCGCAAGACTCTAATGACACTGCAACCCTAGAAGCGTCGTTGACATGGACAATGGGGCTGGAAGACATTTCTGGCTTATTGGCCGTCTCAAGTCATACCCCGAAGACGGGGCTGGGCATTCTAGACCGGATATAATTGTCGCCAGACGTGCGTCGAATACTGCACCGCGAGTCAAGACCTGTCGACTGTGATCAACATCCGATGACCGCTGTAAGTGCAAGTTCCGAGGTCAGAATTGCCAATATCGCATCCTGCAACCAGGGTGGGTCGAAAAAACCACCCCAACGTCACTTCCCGTCCATTTGAACAGCCGAGGTTGGAGAAAGTAACAGCCAGTGTTGGGTCTACCGCCGGGTGTGCGGACGCCTTATTAAACCGCCGATGGATCCGCTGCGCATTACTCCGACCCAAGGGCCAATACACGTAAGGTCGGCTCTCAGCCTTCGGGGTCTGTCCGTCGCCCAACAGCGGACTAGGGAGATCCCTCGTCTTATACTGAAAAGGTAACGCGGAACACCCTGGGACGAGGCCGGCCCTCTGTATCCAGCAATGTATTGCCTGTTCACAACTCTGTTCCTCTATGCAAACCCACGTCTTTTACTGAGTAACAAGAAACAAAACCGCCCCGTTCGCCTGCAACTGTGCAGTTGTCGGGTAATTTTGTAGGACAGGTCGGATGTTCGACAGCCCCGCCCGTAAGCATTGCGAACCTGTCAGTGAAGGAAACGCTCTGACACAGGCATATCCTGGAAGGCAGTACAATGGGAACGTGTGTAGCAAAGTCCCGCTTCCCGACAGTCCGTCCGCATTCGACAGCACCGACCTCGCGCCCCACGGAAACGGTCCGAACAACCACCACCGCGTGACGGGTGTATGCGCACAACCAATGGACAAAGTCACAGAGGAACGTCAACATTGCCCCAAGTCCGCTTCGGTCCCAAGTCTAAGAGGGTTTCAAGTTGACACTGATACTTGGAACTCGACATGACAAAGCCCGAGACAGGGAAGGCAAGTCAGAATGTGGTTTAAACAAGTGTATTTGACAGGAAGTTAACGGCAAAATAAGGCGATTCATTTGTGCAGCCGTGGTACAAGCACGCGTATAAGCACGAATAAGGCGGTGGTACAGACCACAAACTGCGCCTCTCGCAGAATTTACCGACCACCATATAACAGTTCCGAAGAAAGCCGAAGAGAGCGCGATAATAAAAAGTACACATTTTCTCCACAGATAAAAAATAGGCAAATGCGAGGTACAAAAGTATCAAATTCAACCGAAATGAAAACGGAAGCGTACAGTAGTAGATAGAGTACATTCTCCTCTTCCAGTATGATGCACTCCACAAACGGCACACAACTGAGCTGCATATGTGCGGGAACGGGGGCATACTTTTCACAAAACATGGATATAATTTATAAGCCAAAACTTCCACACGCACATGCGCGAACAGGCAGTGGGTTTAAAACGCAGAAGACGGGGGAGAAGATGAAAATGCAACAAATAACTCTGAGCAATTGAAGCAATCGCTTATAGAAAAGCCATCATTTAGAAAGGTAATAAACTACAAATTACAAAATAAATCACAAGGGTGACGCTGGAAGAAACTAACGGGCGGCAATAGATCCACGCACAGAAATCAATGCAGCAGCGGACTTTATGTAGGCGGTGGTGCTGAGTAGAAGTGTAGTCTAAATATAAGTCAGCAAATGCAGAAAATGGCGGAAATGCGACTGCTAGAAGGTCTACTCTTTCGCTTCCAGAGAAGACCAAAGGAAAAGTACAAGGCCAAATTAAGCGTAAATGCAAACAGTATGGTAGACAAAAACAGGGGACAATTGTCAAGCTTGTGGAATGAACAAGTGCGTAAATGCTGGAAGTGGACGAGGAAGAAGTTAAGTACTCCCGGGACAGAAACAAATTCTGGGGTTCCGACCCACGGCGTAAGACAGACTAAGGTAGTACTAAGTGCAACTGTTCTGTTAAAGAGCAAGGGAAATAAGCCGGTTCCCGCGGGATTGATCAGAAAACAGGAAAATGAGAAGTTATTTCGACAAAGGAAAAAAACAAAACTACTCTATCTATTCACGAGACTGGTCGTCCGTGTCCATGTGCGTCTTCGATGAGGCGCGAACAACAGAATCGGAGGCAGAACTTGTAGAACTACTTGAAGTCGGTATGTCCGAAAACTGATCGATATTCTCATCCATGCTACGTGCCGTCATAGGCGCCTCAGTTAGATCGGCCAAGAAAACCTCAGGTCCACCGAATCCATTGAGCTGTTTCAGACCGAAGGTTTTGCTATTGTTGTTAATGCCAGTCCCGCCTCCACACCCGGTTGTCAATTTCCTTTCGCATTCTGTAAGTAGCTGAAGGTTGGTGTTTCGACCTCCACACAAGATTACGCAGACGTTTGCCGGGCGAGGAATAACATTTTCCTGCTGCAGTTTGGCGATGGCGCCGGAATAAACGGCGGATAGGGCCGCTCCACACGCGGGTTCAACAAGCATCCCGTGGTCGTCTGAAATGTTTTAGAAAACGTCTGTGTCAGAAGTGTCGCACTGGTCATTTTTACTACGATGGGACGGAACGTTTGTCGCTTTTTATGAGATGATACAGGTTGCGTGCAAGCAGTGATGCACCACATTTACCAGCGCTCGGTTACTTAACTGAAAGAGGAATAACACGAGTGAGCGGCCTAGATCGTGCATCGGAAGCGACGTCATCAAACCTTAGAATGTTACAACTGCCTATATCGACCGTTACTATCTGCAGACTATAGCAAACCTGGAGTTCGACTCGTTAGTCTGCTTAGTCACCCTCACTGTCAGTCGAGCTAAGAGAAGGTCGACCTTACTGGGTGTGCCGCATTAATCGTAATATGCGAACGTGAATCGTATGACCCAACGGAAAGGCAATCTGCAGTTTTTAGATAACGACTTATTCACGGCCAAACACGGCAAAGAATGTCACTACCAGCTGACAGTTCGGGCAGCAGTTACTACGCATCGCAACAATCTTTACTTTGGTCTTTTAATGGTAAGCAAAAGCATTCCTCTTGAATTCAATTTAAACAACGAAACAAACTCACCGAGGAAACGGCGGGCGGCCTGAACAGCTTCCAGGTCGGAGCAGGTGATGGCAGTCACAGGGTGACACTGTATCATGCTCCATGCGCGCAGAGACAGTGAAGGGGCGCAAAGAGAAGTTGCAACACTGGTGCATTTGGGCATAACAACGGGGTGGCCAGCAGCCACGGAGCGAGAAAGACAGTCAGCTCCCTCCGTTTCTACGGCCAAGATGTGAGTGCTGGACCAGCTGCGGTTCCAAAGACCCTGGATTAGGCCAGAGAGAAGTCCACCGCCGCCAACGGCCAAAACAATAAGGTCAGGCTGCTGGCCTGCGGGCAACTCTTCAATAATAGACTCGTATCCGGCCCAGACATCTGTTTGGTCGTACGGATGGAGAAAACGAACCGCAGAATCGGTAGTTCCGTTTATCTGTTGCAACTGTTCGTTTGCGTCATTAACCATCTGTTCGGCGCGACGAGAGGCTTCCGAGAGAGTAGACCCAAAGGAAACCAGCTTTGCAGAGGGCGCTTCAATAGACAAGCGTTTCCTTGTAAGTGACTCGTTGCCCTCTGGTGTGACAACTGTACATGCCATACCCAAAGATTGGGCGGCAAACGCCGCAGCAACCCCAGCATTTCCAGTACTTGGACAGACAATGTGCTGGGCACCACCGAGGGACGCGAACTAAATAGAAGAGGAAGGATATAAGCAGAAGAAAAACAAACAATTGGGGTTGAGTTGAATGTTTACTGGGTCATACCTTGCGGCATGCATATTCCATTCCACGAAACAGAACCGATCCAGTTGGTTGAAGGTTCTCCAATTTCAAATAAACGTTCGCTCTTCCACCTTTAGTAGACACCGCGGCTGAAAGTTGAGGGCTCAGAAGCAGAGGTGTTGCAATCGACAACTTTTTGGGGACAGCGAGCTCCGGCGCTCGCAGTGTACTGCGAAATTGGTCAACAGAGGTCAAAGGCATTAAAGAGGCACCAGAATTCCATGACATTTGTGACCCTAGGTCTGGTTTCGCGATTAAATCCATTCCCTGATGAGCTTGCTTCGCAAATAGCGACTGGGTATCAGGCGAAGAAATTCGATCGACAATTGAGCGGGAAATGCCGTTGGCCACGGCGCTTCCGTCCAGAAGGTCTGCAAAGTCGACATTATCGAGTAGGTTAGATCCTGTGTATGCTAAAAGGAACAAGGAGATATTTGTCAGACTTGGGGAATCATTTGAAAGCGCGTAAACAGGTGACGGACGGAAAGTAGGTAAATCAGCGTTGAGACAATATTCAAGTCATGTGCATGGGCTAGGAAAGAGGCCAGTGAGTCACACAAGCGGATTAGGCTAGCAATCCATTGCCAGGTAGACCAGTGAGCGAGAATTGGACGAGCCGCGTTGCACCGGCAAACGCATTGAAAGAGGCGCAAACAAAAATGCACAAACCGAACTTCCAGTCGCGAAAGGTAAGAATATGTGCACTGGGCCTCTACAAACTGATTATACGAACAAGATCCAAGTGACTGCACCTAAAGAAGCAACCTACTTTAGGGGTGTTCGGAGGAACGCATCTTAAGGGTCACGAAAACTTCTGTAAAAGGCCATGGGAGAAATGAGAACACAACTTACTTTTATTGCGTATAATCGGACGCGGCTGCAAAGATGTAAGCGATGGAAGAGCGTTCTCGTTTGGTTCAATAGCTTCCAGTGTAGAACGCGGATGGCTCATTTTTAAAATGCCGTTTGTGACTGAACAAGCGGAGCCGGGGAGGCCAAGCTTTTCTTGTAAATGGCATTGCGCGCCGGATATTTGGCGAGGCTGCAAGCCAGCCAGACTGCTACAATCACTGCCAAGACGGGAGTTGAGATAAAACATGTCAAAAGTCTCTCTGGTGACCGGACCGATAAGGCGTAGGCACAGGGGAGTCGGACAATCGGGCAGCTGAAGCCCATTTAGACGGCCAATTGCTGTATCACAACTATGAAAAGAAATGTAAGCGACTAAAGTGCAACGAACCTTGAGCGCTCTTCAAAAATGATGGAGGTCATAGGACCCTTAGAAGAAATCTGGCCTCGAGTACCGAATAAATTTGCCTCCGTAGTATTGCAGTTTAGATCGGCGAGAGCACTAGTGGCGGTTTTCATCGTGTCTGATGGTAGGAAGCGAACCCAAAGAATGCGACCGAAATGCGAAAACAAGCGCTAACAGAGTAGGGCGATAATGAAAATAACTTACCATGATATCGGATTCGGACACCTCTGAAGGTAATCCTGCAACGCAAATCTCCCAACCCAATACATTTTCAGAAGGTTCGTTGACACAATTGACGCTTCCTATATCGCCAGAAGGGGTTCGCTGACCCGAAAGATAGCGCCGACCACCAGAACTGGCATAAGCGACCCGCAGTCGCTTGCTTTCTGTCTCATAACCGTGATACGTCTGTATTGCGAGGGCTGCGTGCTGAGGCGATATATAATCGACAAATCCGTAGCATAAACTGGCCCCAGTATTCTGGAAAAGTGTGAACAGATGACCACTTACCTTGTCACGAATCAGCTTGCATTGGCGAATAGGTCCCAGACGCTCGAAAAGACGTTGTAAATCACTCTGATCATAGCTCTGAGGAAGATAATTAATTATAAGATTGGTTCTTGAACGGTCTTCAACGCCGCCCGTGGAATTAAGCCAGCTTGGGGGTAGACATAGAGATTTCAAAGCTTGTCCTATGTCCGTATTAGCGTGTGTGCCGGAGTCCGTCATAGTTGATGCAAATACGGAACTATTTTCAGAAGAGAATAGGTTGTTTACTGGCCCGGCGGAGAAGCCCGGCAACATGACTATACACGCCGAGACGCCAAATTTAAATTCGTCTTTGACGGAGGGCAAAAACCACCCATTCAAACAACAACCCCTGGCAGCTATGGATTGCTTCAACTGTTCAACTTCCGATTAATTAACCTGGTCTGCGCCAGTAAACGAATGATCACGAGTAACTATTTTAGTCCTGACATAATGTCTCTAGAGTTGCTGAAGATCTCATGGCCACTAAGAGGGTCCAGTGTCTTTCGGTCGTCATCCTTTGTGCAGTCAGGTTTTCTGAGATGTCAGTGTCAGTATAGTGCATCACAGAATAATAAACTTTCTCTAAGACCATCCTGGGCGTGAAATAATATTCCGAAACTTTACGGCATGGCATAAATAAAGAATGCAGGTCGAATAGACTAATCTGTGTACGAAACAAAAACAGAAAATTGACACCAATGAAATTGAAGGAAACAATGCAAAAGAGGTGAGGGTAGAAGACAAATGGAGAGTAGTGGGACTATTAGCACACATAAAGCGAGGTTATTGTTTGCTAAAATGAAAAACGCATATGGAAAACAACTGTAAACTAGTCAACGAAAAGCATCAAAGAAAAAGTAGGGAAGCCTGAAAATTAAGCGTTAAGCAGACCTATACCTCAAGCACAGGAGAGAAACAAAATGAAAATGAAAACCTTTAGTATACTTTTGACAGCAGTATACGATAAACGTTCGCTCTTTTGCGGGAGTTCCTTGATCTTGTTCCTAAAATTGTGAACACATCAAAGGGTGAGGTGGGAGTCACACATCGCGACGTCCAGAAGCATGACAGTTCTACATTGTTTGATGATTTTTGGCCAGCAAACATCCCTCCTGCTACACTGAAAATATAAGGGACCATCTAAAAGATAAACATGGGAGTAGGCTCGAGAATGGCCTATAGCTCATAGTTCTCTTCGTTTTGCTGTGCCTTGCAATCTCTTTGCGATGACCGTGCATTTTGCGATTAAGTTCGAGTTCATTACAACACTATCATATGGACCACTCTCTTCTTCTTATTAAGACATTTTCTTTCCGGAAGGAAAGGCAAATTTTCACTTTCTTATCCTCTTTTCTCAACCCTCTTAAACAGCAGGTTTAAATTTCCGGTATTAACTTCGGTCCCATATGTATGAGGATTGAATAAGAATTGAATTCTTGATTTGCACATGGTCTGCCTTCATGTCAGTGCTATATTGTAATAGCCGGAGATCTGGCCAGAGGCCAGACCTTGATTGTTTTAATCAACGCACGATTTGGATGGCACTCTTCCGTTTTTTTCTTTCAGGGACTGTGCTTCCAAGTTCATGTATGAACGAGTAATCATCGATTTGTCTGCGATGAATAGTTTTATCGTTCTTTTCGCTTTACCGCAATTCGTCTTGTAATAGTTTTCCACTTTTTCTAGTCCGTAATAAACTTACATCCCCTCATTATCTGTTTTGCCTCGTATGATGTCCCGCATGCCTGCATCGCCCGTTCCAAACCGTTGAGAGATACAAGGACTTTGGACAGGAATTTTCATGCTGCTGGTCCGTCTGAGTTCAAACTACCGTCAATACCTTCCAATATTATCCGTGATACGACGTCACTCGCCTGCTCGGCCGCTACAATACTAAACTATTTCAGAGGGGGAGGCTTTTTACCTAACAGATATTATAATTTATTAGAAATAGAGCACATTTTTTAGATACTAAAAATGGGTTGGGATTATGGTCAGTGTTTGGGAAGAATGGGACAAATGCTCAATTGCCTAGTCAAATGTGTTTTATCGGGTTTAAAGTTTTTAAACTCATGCGTTACGTGTAGTAGGGCGATCATAGTGAAGATCTGGAAGTTGCCTGTTAATAATAATAATAATAAATGCCAGTTTACAGGCATTGTCAGGGAAGCGTTAAACACCAATCCGGCCAGCAGTGAAAAAAACTAATGTCAAAAAGAAATAAAAATAAAGTTGATGATGGTTTTTATAGCTCGGATATTACCAGTCGTCCGTTCTTTTCATGAAGTTTAGGCTTGTCCAAACAAAGCACCGAAGAACAGCTGTCGCTGTTAGCTAGAGAAACTGCCCCTGGTGAGACCGGCCATATGGATCATAGACCACGGACGCCATCACTTCGGTATATTCGGTCGGTGGATTCAGCATCCAAATTTTGTGGGAGTATTTCTGAATGCAAGTTGACAGATTGTGACATCGTGCTAAAGTGCCCAGGCAACTACCTACAGACGTCCCTCCATTGTCGACGTTCCCGGTGTCTTCCACACGACCGTAGTTGTCGGCGAAGAACACTTGACGTTGATGGCCATGACACAAGTGAACTAGGAGTGGTTAAGAATCTGGGTATATCCTACGCCAAGAATCTCACACATTCGGAACATTACGCCCTGGTTTTCCCATATGATCAACTTAAATAAACAGCCAAAGCTGTGAGGCCCACTAACATGCCAGCCTGTAGCATGAAAGTATACAATGTTGCTGATAATTTTTGCAATCCAACTGCTGGTTTGACACCCCAAATAATAATTCCTTCTCATAATGTAAACTGTTTCTGAAAACCACCTAGTCCATTATCTAACATAAATTAACCACCATAATACGCTCAACATAATCAAAATCCTAGTTTTATGCCTCCTATTTTTCCAACCCAACAAAATATCATTCCTGCTCATAAGTGTAGACCAACTGTGTTTCTATAAAATGCTGCAATTCTAGTTAGTGGTAATTACCCTTACAAATTTTAGGCCACAGCAATTTGGTCCTCCGCCAACTGCTTCGTCACAACAGCTTAATATTCCACCACCAGCTCTCCCTTTTTTATAATTAGCAATGAGTGGAACCGACATTTTAGGAATACGCTCAGTATTGTCTCTCTCAACGCAAGATCAGTCCTGCTAAAGATGTCACAACTAAGAAGTGTGGCTGTTAAGTTTGACCCAGATGTATTGTGTATTACTGAATCCTGGGCTCACTCTCTAATTTCAGACTCGGCACTCAATATAGATAGCCGTAGTTTATACCGCCAGGATCGTGCGAACTACGCGGCGGTAGTTGCTTTCTTTAATAAGAGCCTCATTTGCACAGTCGCCGTATGACCTGAACATTTCCTCCTCTAATGGAAATTTATGTTTCGCTTCGGTAATCCTTCCGCAAAATAGGAAAGCCTTAGTCGGATGTGTATATCATCCTCCTTGTTACTCCGGAAATGAAAGCCAACTCTGTGAACTCTTTGAAAAAATTACAGAGACTTCTTTCGATGTCAAGATCATCGTAGGCGACTTTAATTTGCCAGACATTGACTGGCACACACATACTTCTTCTCCTAAATTCCAGAAGCTGCTTGACGCAATTTGATTTTCAAACTTATCTCAATTAGTCCACTCTTCGACCAGAAACGATAGTGTTTTAGACTTAATTTTTACTAATGGAACCTTCCCTCTATCTATGGATTTCTATCATGACCTTTTTGCAAGTGATCATGCATTAATCCATTGTCGCCTTCCAGTTGACATTTCCGCAAAGCCAACAGCACAACGAAGTATTTTTGACTTTGTTAATATTAACAAGGAATTAGTAAATAACTTTACAAGCACTCTTGATTGGCACAATATTTTTCCAAATAATAACCTAAATTTTTTCAACAATTTATTACAATGCGTAACAGAAGGTCTTCTTGAACTTATTCCTTGGAAGATGTTCAAATCAAGTGCTAATTCCACCGCTGTCCCACACTTTATTAAAAACAGACTTGAAAAGCTACGGAAGCAGCTTTAAAATCCCTCCGTAAACTCAGTATCGGTTCACTTAAGAATCGCTGAAATATTGTAATTAGCTTCGAAAATGAGGCTCGCACGAGATAGGCGTAGAGAGTCACTAGCTATTAGTGGCGCGAATGCTTCTAAATCAGTTGCCCAGGTCTTCCGTCAAAGATCATCTACTAAATCCCACCAAGTCATTCCGCCTTTGCTTAGTACCAACGATGCCTTCATTACAGAGGAGTCAGGCAAAGCAGAAATGTTAAATTCGTTCTTTGCCAAACATTCCACCATGGAAACTGACTCAATCCCTTTAATTCCTCCGTTGTCTGATGCATCTCTCAGCATCATTCATTTTGCTCCTGAAGCTGTTTAAAAACTGAAAAATCATCTTCCTAACTCTCACTCAGTAGGCACGGATAATATCCCAAACTCTCTTATAGAATAGCGTAACGTCCCCTGATCTGACCAGAGTTGTTTGAATGCCGTGACACTTTTTTGACTCGCGGACCTAGGATGGAATTGGCGTAGCCGCGTGTTGGTGAAGATGGCCGGTGTCCCTTCCTCTCTCTTCCGCCGATCCCTTCTCTTGTTCCGTACCGTGACGTAACGCTCGTATCATTCCTCTCGCTACATCGACAACCCCCTCGGCCCCTTCCTGCAGTTGCCCCCAGCGCTGCGTTCACCGCCGGTCTTCCAGCTGACATGTCGGTCTCTCCTCTCCACCCAGACAGGTCACTCGACTGTTGTAACTCGTTCCGTTTGTACTTTTAACTGTCATTATACACCTTTTCAATTCCCTTTTCTGTTCATTATATCTTTTCGTCCACTGATCGTTTCCTCTTCATTTATGTATAGATGAGTATCGTGAACTGCTAACAATCGTATTCAGATCAACACAAACCACGATCTCTTCCTTGGTATTCTGTTACGTGGCTGTGTGCTACCCGTGACGTCCTCGGTCGCTACAACAGCTAAGAGATTTTCCTCCAGTGTTCAGCAAACTCTTCTCAGTCTTTCTCGAAAATGTTTCCTTTTCTGGCTATTGGAAAACTTTTATTATTATTACAGCATTTAAATCTGGCTGTCGTTCTGATGTCTATGGGACTTCGCAGTCCCCTTATAGACTTTATCAAGTCGTACATATCTAATCGCAAAGCAAAGGTT